CTTTCTCTTGGGTCATTAGGTCTTGAGGATCAGAATCTGAGATTAAACCTTTGACAACTCTGATTTAGGACCGGCATTTGATATAGACGCTAACGCACACACATACACATACGCATACGCTCTAGCCAAAGTAACAGGACCAGTATGAAAGATAATTTACCAAACCACTCAATATCGATCTATCTAGGTTTTTAATTTTAATTTGTTGGCTCGATTGAGTCTACATAAGAAGTAAGATAGAGTCGGATAGTGTTCTTGCTTTAGTGTTAATGTGAGACTCTGACAAGAATGAAACCCAGCTCTGATGATGTCCATCATATGATGGACGAAAGCTCAGCACATTTTCACCCGAAACGAGGAAGGAAATCTCGTGAACTGCGTCAACAAGAATATCATATAAAGCCAAATGGCTGCAGTATAACGAGATTTATCCGTTTTCATTCGGTGAGATCGACCAAAGAATCTCTTCTTCATGCACTTTCATACAAATAATATTATTTTAAAAACTAGCAAGACAAGACTTGCCTCTCTAGTAAGCTAATTTATCTTAAAGCTATGAGTGACATGATCAAGGGCATTATTCTGAAACATTTCCTTCGGTTCAGCTTTGGATAAAAACCTGCGAATGCTTATATGCTCAGTGGCTAGGCGAACCACTTTAACAGGATTTGCAAACTTAGGACGGCTATAATAAAACTTTGAGTACAGAAGACACAAATATTTGTTTTTTTATATAACTGATTTGGCGGCATAATTACACGCCATTAATATCCCTGAGACTTTATTTTATTGATATGATCAATCATATAAGCATGTATCTTTTCTGGGTAAAACTTGGCTTTAAATGAACTATTAATATTCCCCAAAAACTTTTTAATAACCTTCGTTTGTTTTTTTCAAAACCTTTTAACGAGCCATTTATAAGTGATATTGTCCCAAATCCATGGCGGCGAAGTTACCACTAGCTTTACATTATATAATGCCCGTTTTCGTGGGTTGCCGAATAAAAGGTACAATTTTTGATGAAAATACTTATAAGAACATCTGATAAATTACTTCGTTTGTGGCTATTATAGATATAAATTCGGCTTTTATTATCGGTATACACTTGGTTAAAGACTTGCATGTTCTAGATGCATTGATTTATTAGCCGAACCAAGAGGCTAATTTTTAGTAGAGAGCTATATCAAATTAAAAACAAGAGGCATGACGATGGCGAAGTTCCATTTTAAATTAATTTATAACTGGTATAGTGGTTAAAAATATTTATTTTCTTTGTATTTCTCTTAGTTTCGTAATTAAAAGCATAGAAAACCAAACAGGTTTTGAACAAATGTTAGCTTATAAGAGGTATTCACCCTATTTCGTTTCAGGTGCTAAAGGACTGGTAGAAGAATTTTCCCATCATGATATACTAGTCCTTCATCACCTTAAACGAAATAGGGTGAATACCTCTCAGATTACTGATTTACTGGTAATCTCGAAACTCTACTCCAATACAAAAATATTAGCTTAATCACTCTTGGCATTTTGGCACTTAGTTAATATAAAATGTAATAACCATAGGAAGGGTAATAGGCTTAAACTTCTTTATAAGGAAGTATCTTATTTCATAAGTGTATGCTGATGCCCTGATGCCTTTTCAAATTATTGAGAGATTTGTACTAGCCTCTTAACCGAAGAAGGTTATGTTTATTATTTTGTTGGCATTCAGTTATCGTCATTTTCTACGGTTTCTATCTGAATGCATCGATTTGTCCTCAGTTTATCTCATTATATGCTTAAGCACGTCATTTAACGAGTATAATGCTGTAATCAAGGGCGATATTTGAACCAATGAACATTCAGGTCTCAAAACGTCCACTGTGCCAAAAAGACCTGTAATTATAGAGGAAATGGACAATAAACTGCTTCCCAATGTATAAGATTTAAATGATCTATTTAGCTGATGGAATTGTATTAAGATCCTATCTTCTTCAAAATAATCATTTTGCAGACTTGCTTCTTCATCAATCAGTTCTATCCCCCTAAAGAGTGCAAAATAGTACAGGGCTTGGTGAAGTGGTAGTCTTTAGAGGAAGGCTGAAAAAGAAAACTTGAAAAACCATAGGGTGACCCGCTAAGTAAACGTGAGAGGAAAATGCTAATACAAATAAAATAAATATAGATTTTCTGATACAGACTACTTGGGATTGGGGAAACTCTCTTACATTCCAGTCACTAGTCATCATTTACTGAGCAATACGGAAGAAATATTTGGTTCTGGTGACTATGGAAGGTTTTATAAAAGAAAATTTAATAGCAACTGAAAATATCATATCAAATCGTTAATTATCTTCATATATATCCTAGAAGTATTGTATATTCTGACTAACGAAATAAAATAAAAGTAAATTTTAGCTAAATATGGCATCATTCTTTCCACTAGCAAAAAAGGGTTATACATTTTGGACCTCACTTGAAACCATTACCCAGTGGCCTGATTCATTCATGTTTGCATGGCTC